GTAAAGGGGCGCTGGAGGTTAGAAAGGGATGGAGGTCCTTGTGAGTAGCGAGGTGATACTCCGGCTACAAAGCGACGGGGAGGTGGCTGAGGGTTGGGGAGGGGACGGGGGAGGGATTGGCGTCTTTGAGGGGCGTCGAGCGTGGCGCGGCGTGGGGGCTTCGGGGATGAAGACCGGGACGACGTGATAAGCTCATCGCTGTGTTTATACCCAACGGTTGGAGGGAGAGAAGGATGAAGCACCAGGGGCCGCGGCTAAGTGTAGCCTAAGGGCGTGTATCTCCCACCAAAATGTGCGTTTTTTTCCTGTCTCTCTCTTCTTTCGTCGTTTTTCGTTTGGTGAAGATGGATTCCCTATCTGACAGCTGACAGCGAAGGATAGGGCGCAAGCGATTGAAAGTGCTTGCTTGCTGCTTGCTTGCTTATGTGCGATCGGATAGCGTCGAGTCGGGCCGCCGTGTGTGCCTGTTCGTCCACCCGCCCGTTCTCCGGCCCTGCCGCCCTCCCTCCCTCCCTCCCTCCCTCTCTCCCTCCCTATCCCGTCCACGCCGTCTGCCTGCCGGCCAGCCCCGCCTGGGGCTGCATTCCGTCGACTCGACAACCTGTGAACGACTGCACCGTCATCAGAGGACTGGGGGTGGAGGGAGGGACGTGGCGAGGAGGGGCGCGCTTCCGGGCCCGCGACCACTCAGAGCTGCTTCTCGGTAGGGGTCACTGTGTGTGTATGTGTTTGCGCGAGAGCTCGTGGGAGGTGGATGGGATGGAGAGGTTAAAAAGGATTCGGCGAGTAAGGTGCGAAACACAGAAGGGGAGGTAGGGAGAGAGAGAGAGAGAGATGAAAAGAAAAATATCACACCAAAAAAGATCGACATATGAGTTCTCTTCGCGGTTCGAGTTGATGACGCCGTGCAAATGCATTTTTTAAAGAAGATTTACAGTTTTAAATCAATTCGCTACTAAGGATGAAAAAAAAAAGAAGTTAAAAAAGTGAGTGACTGGTGGTTGATTCGTCCCCACCGTCTCTCTCCGTTCCTCTCTGGCTTCGCCCTCGATGCAGCCTCACCTCACTTCACTCGAGTCAGTCGCTCTGCCCGTGACACATGTCAATGTGGCAAACGGATCAGCGGTAGTCCCCTGCCTCTCCTTGCCTCTTCTCTCTCTCCCTCCCTCTCACACACACCGCCACACACACACACACACACACACACATCCACCTCCCACTTCTTTAGCTCCTTCACCTTGTCACACGGCACTGCGAGAAGTCCAGACGGTAGTTTGTGCATGCCTGTGACTGAGTATCACCAGCGGTAGTTGGCAGCTCGTGTTCTCTTACCCTTTTTGGCATGGACTGCTCCAAGCGAAGCAAGCTGCCCGGTGCGACGGGAGGGCAAAAAATAAAAAACAGAAATACAAGAAGGATAAGTAAAAGCTCCAGAAGATCGCGGGCCGTGTACGAGCGTTGCTGACAGGTAGAGCCGAGTGGCGTCTAGCTATTGGCAGGCTTATCACATGAACTCGCTGCGTGGTGCCGGTGGGGGGGACGGGTGGAGGCGGAAGAGGAGGGAGAGAGAGAGAGAGAGAGAGAGAGAGAGAGAGAGAGAGAGAGAGAGAG